ATTCCTGGGGCTCAAGTCTCATGTTCTCACAAAACCCTCAATCAGTGTAAGGGAATTCTCTTTTCCCGAGACCTGATGAGGTATTCTGAGGAGAAACTGTTAGAACTGAAGAATTTAATGTAGTAGCAGTAAAACGTTTTAAGAAGAAAGTTGATGGTTTGGAACAGTTGACACCAGCTCTTCTTCTAACTTTTGAATCCTTAGTCCTTCCTGAATCGGTTAAGTTGGCATGGTACCAACTCAAGGTCAAGCCATATGTACCAAACCCTATGCGGTGTTTCCACTGCCAGGGTGTGTGAAGTGTGGTACAACAGGTCAAGGAGATGACAACTGTCCAGGTCCAATATGCTGTTACCACTGCAAAGATGATCATGAAGCTTCTAAGCAATGTAAAAGGTACAGATTTGAAAAAGAAATATTGGTAATAAGGAGCAAGGAGAAAGTTAGTTTTGCAGAAGCAAAGTGACGTGCCCGTGTGCTGTTTGCACAGCCGGGTAAGTCCTTTGCTTCGGTTCTAGCCCATCCTCCTTCCCGCCATCCCTTACCCTCCAATACACCACACACTCTGCCACTACCGTTACACATCAGTCCTCAAATGCTGAAACTGATTCTGGTGAGTTGGTCCACCAGAAACGAAGTAGGAGTGAGGGGTCTATTGAGGAGACTCCTCCTCCCAAAGTAAGGTCTTTGGAGCCATCAGGTAAGGCTCCAGAGGCCTCAACGGTGACAGCTTCAGCTGCCACCACATCCACAGGGGCCTCTACTGCTAGGCAGGATGCCCCTGAAGCAAAGGCAGAGGAATCCTGAGCCTGTTCAAAAGACTCCTCATAGAGTCAGGTCTTTGGAGCCACCAGGCAGGGCTCTAGAGGCCACCACATCCACAGGGGCCTCCGCTGCTAGACAGAATGCTCCTGAACCAAAGGCTCTGGTCCGTCCTTTGTCCACGCAAAGAAATCCTGAGTCTGCCCAAAGGAAGCCTGTGGAAACTAGTTCTACAGGTAAACAACCCATAAAAAGGTATTCCCAAGATACTGGAAAGGGACAGTCTAAAGGTGTGGGGCGGACCTTAACCACAGGTGCTGCCAAACACCTTATGAAGTAGCTTGTCACCCTGAAAAACTGGATACCCTAATCCAATGGAATTGTCAGAGAATTGCAACATCTGATAGCTTCTTGTAATCCAGTTTGTGTATGCCTACAAGAGATTATGACTAGGGAAAATCGTCCAATTTCCCTGAGAGGATTCCAAGTTCAAGCCCATTATGGGACCTTTGATAATGGACCTCATGGAGGAGCTGCAGTGATGGTACATCAGGATATTCCCTTCCAGGCCATCCACCTGCAGACAACACTGCAGGTGAAGGCTGTGAGAATAGGCTTGACACGACCTTACACTATTGCATCCATCTACCCCTCTCCGCATAATCTTAACATAGATGATTTGGAAGATCTACTTGGGAAATTGCCTCATCCATTTCTACTCTTGGGAGACTTCAATGGTCGCCATCACCCCTGGGGAGACACTTTGTGCAACCCTCGAGGAAGGGCCTTGGAGTCCTTGTTCTCAAGAGTAGATGCAGTTTTACTGAACAGTGATGCACCCACACATTTCCAAATTCAAACTGGGACATTCTCCAATATTGACTTGTCAGTTGGTTCACCTGATTCCCAGTTGAATTTCACTTGGCAGGTCATGGAAGACTTTCATGGAAGTGACCACTTTCCAATACTTTTGAAAGAGTTGAATGGTATTCCAGCCAATGGAGTGCAGAGATGGCGACTTGAACATGCAGACTGGAATCTTTTTAGATCAACTGCAGTATTGCTTCACATCGCGGATTCACCTTGCAGCAGAAGCATCAGTTCCCAGAAGTAGTGGGCAGTACCGTCGACCTCCGGTACCATGGTGGTCTGATGAATGCCAACAAGCTGTCAGAGCAAGAAAAGCACTTATTCGTAGTAAACTTGACTATGGATGTGAAGCTTATTCATCTGCAACTCTCAGCGTTCTCCGGATGTTGGACTCGGTTCATAATAAAGCCCTGAGAATTTGTATAGAGGTTTTCAGGTCTTCACCTGTGGGGTCCCTGTATGCTGAGAGTGGAGAACCACCTCTTTTTTTTACACCGGGTCTACATGAACCTGATTACTACACGAGACTACAAAGGATTCCAGGATCTCCTACATCCAGATTGGTTTTCAACCCCTTTGAGGATAGCAGAACCTATGGTAGGAGAATGAGGAATCTTGTGGAATAACTTAATTTAAATCTCACAAAGGTTCTTGCTCGGAATTGGGAAAGGGGAGAGATCTGAAGCAGAAGTCAGAGAGATATTACACTTCTAAGTACCAGGGATCATATGCAATATATATAGATGGTTCGAAATCTGAAAATGGTGTGGGATTTGCAGCAGTGAGCAGAAGGAAGACTGCATCTGGCAGTCTTTCTCGATCAGCCTCGATTTTCACTGCAGAGTTATCCATCCTTGCAGCAGTCAAGATGACTAGAGATCTTACGAACAATTCTGTTATAATATATTTTGACTCTTGTAGTACCTTGCAAGCAATCAAGAGCTTAAACTCATCACATCCAGTGGTGAGGGAGGTTCAAGACTGGCTTGCATTGATGTCAGCACGTAAAAAGATGTTGGTATCAGTGGGAATGAGCGAGCTGATCAGAAGGCCAAGGCAGCTGCCGCTCAGCCTTGTGATGCTTGTTTTCCTCTCCCACACACTGATTTGAAACCCAGCATCAAAAGTTGTCTTCATGATAAATGGAGGGAACAATGGAGGCATACCTCTGGAAATAAACTACGAGAGATTAGAGATGACCTTGGCAGTTGGGAGACCAGCATCCACCGAAACCGACAAGTGGAAGTTGTATTAACAAGGCTGAGAATTGGGCACACAAGAATGACTCATGGGCCAATGATGGCTAAAAGTGAAGCACGCTGTGAGGAATGCCAAGAGCCATTAACGGTCGCACATATAGTGGAAAGATGTGCAACATTCTCAGACCAAAGACGAAGGTACTTGTCTCCCCCATATACACTGAAAAATGTATGGGGGGAGGATTGTGACATAGAAGGTCTTATTAGTTTCCTTAGGGAAACTAATATTTTCAAAAAAATTTAATTATGCATAATGTTTATGCAATAGTTTTTAGACATTTAGAGCATAATGTTTATGCTTTGATTTTCAATATAATATTTATTGTTATTTAAAGCATTTATTGATAGATTTTTAACGCTTTAAATATCTTAATATTTCAGTTTAACAAGGTGTTCGCCGCTAATGACCTTAGCTGTTGACGCGGCAGATAATTTTAAATAATCAATCAATCAATC